TGTGGCATAACTAGCCCCTGGTTTCTTATATTGGTGGCGTGGTGAGTGTCTCATGCCCTGGGTGAGACCATGGGGTAGGGTTTGAGGCTGGGCCTGGAGGCTGCCCGTCTAGGGATTCACGCCAGGTAGAACATCCCACAATAGCTTTGCAGGTGCTATGCTGTTGACTGATACTTCTGGTTTGGTGCCATTAATGGCAGGTATGTTGCGCCACCACCAAGATTTGTGCACTGGTTTTTGTGAGCTCTACCTCCTTGCTTTGTTTCTATCTGACCCCAGGTTGTCTAGCTGTGCCATTACCCCTTGTCCTCCCTTTGAAGTGATACCCGAGTGGACTTCCTGAGATGTATCTCAGAATTCTATAAAAGCACGATGCCCGCCTCCAGTTCTCTTTGCCTACAGTAGTAACTGTGAGCCCTGGAGAATCCTTTCTCTGTGGCACTGTGCCAAGTTGGGTAAGGGAGAGGTGTGATGGGTCAAAGTGAGACCATTTGTTTTTTGCCCTCTCACAGTTTTTATGAAGTTCTGTGGTTTATGCAGGTATCCCAGGCTTGATATTAATTGGATTTGTCTAATACTAATATAGCCACTTTAGTGCTCCTTTAAGAAACATCAGCATGTACATCATTTTATATTCTTTCACTTAAAATGGGTTTCTTATAGACATTCTAGAGTTGTGTCTTAAAAATGTAATTTGATGATTTCCACCTTTAATTGCATTGTTGAGGACATGTACATTTAATTGTTAACAAATTAAATCTAGTACCTTGCTGGTTATTTTCTTCTCATCTGCCCTTATTTTCTTCTTCTTCTTCTTTTTTTTTTTTTTTTTTGGATGGAGTTTGACTCTGTCGCTCAGGCTGGAGTGCAGTGGCTCTATCTTGGCTCACTGCAACCTCTACCTCCCGAGTTCAAATGATTCTCCTGCCTCAGCCTCCCGAATAACTGGGATAACAGGTGCACATCACCATGCCCGACTAATTTTTGTGTTTTTATTAGAGACGGGGTTTCACCATGTTGGCTAGGCTGGTCTCAAACTTCTGACCTCAGGTGATTTGGCTGCCTTGGCCTCCCAAATGCTGGGATTACAGGCGTGAGCCCGTGCACCCAGCCATCCCATCATTTATTTATTCTGCTTTCCCTTTTTCCTTGACTTCTTTTCCACTAGTTGAGTGTTTTTAATGGTTTCCTTTAATGTCTGTATTAGATCTCTTTATTTAATGGTTGCTCTAGTATATACAGTGTCCATCTTTAACTGTTCATAGTCAAATGTCAAACAGTATCTTTTTGCATGTAGTGCAGAAACCCTAGAACAACATACAGTTGAACAATGTGGGATTAGAGTGCTGACCCCCTGTGCAGTTGAAAATTCATGTATAACTTGACTCCCCAAAAACGTAACTACTAATAGCCTACTGTTGACTGGAAGCCTTACTGATGACATAAACAGTTAACATAACTTTTGTTATATGTATAAGAAAATCATAAGGGAGAGAAAATATATTTAATATTCGTTAAGTGAAAGTGGATCATCATAAATGTCTTCATCCTTGTTGCCTTCATGCTGAGTAGGCTGAGTAGTAGGAAGGGTTGGTTTTCCTGTCTCAAGGGTATCAGAGGCAAAAGAGGTGGAAGGGGAGGCAGGAGAGGCAGACACACTTGGTGTGTAACTTTTGTGGACCTGTGTTGTTCACGAGTCAACTGTATTTCCATTTGTTCTTCTTATCCTTTTTTCTATTGTTGACCTTTTTGTATTATAAACTTCCAAATACATTGATAATATTTTACTTTTGCTAGTCATTTACTTTTAAGATGATTTTAATGAAATATATGTTCAATATTTGACTTCATTTTTACCATTTCCTGGCATTATTAGTTTCTTTGTGTAGCTCCAAATTTTCCTCTGGTATCACACTTTTTTTTGCCTAAAGAACTCCTTTTAACAGTTCTTATAATGTAAGTGTGCTGGGAATGATTTATCTCATTTTTTAATTGAGAAGGTGTTTAATTTTGGAAGATATTTTCACTGCATATAGAATAATGGATCGACAATTTTTTCATTTTAATTCATAATTATAAAGATTCTGTTCCATTTTCTTCTGGCTTACATAGTTCTAATGAGAAGTCAGCTGTCATTCTTTTCTTCTGTTTCATTTTGTCTTCCCTGGTTTTCTTCAAGATTTTCTCCTAGCCATTGGTTTTTACTAGTTTGATTATGATGTGTAGTACAGTGCTTGTGTTTGTGTATTTTATTGATTTATTTTGCTTGAGGATCTCTGAACTTGTGTATGTGGAGTTTTTTGTTTTTTTTATTAAATATGATACTCTCCAGCCATTATCTTTTTAAATATTTCTTCCTTCCTGTTGTTCTTCTGGAACTCCATTGCATGCTTTTTAAACTATTTGATTATTTTCAATAGCTATTGCATGATTTATTCTTTTTTTAAAAAAACTTTTAGTTGGGATAATTCTATTGACCAATCTTAAAATTCAGTGATTCCTTTTTCAGTTGTGTTCAGTCTGCAGATGAGCTTGTCAAAGAAATTCTTTGATATAATGCCTTTTATTTCTACCGTTTCCATTGAACTCTCCAATGAATTCATCATTTCTTCAAGTACGTTGTCCACTTTTTCCATTAGTTCCTTTAACACATCAGTCATAGTTATGTTAAAGTTGTTTTCTGATAATTTCAACATGTGGGTCATATTTCAGTGTATATTGTTGATTCCTTTCTCTTGACAGTGGTTTGGTTTTCTTCTTGCCTGTTTTGTATGTTGAGTATTTTTTATTGCATGCCAGATATCATATGTACAAGAATATTGATAGAGGCTGATGTGAATAATATTTATAGCTAAAAAGTAGACCCACCTCTTCTATAAGGTCATTAGTATGGGTGATTGAGTTAATCTTATCAGTTATTGAGCTAGTGCTATTGTGAATGTTGTTGCCTTCCCCCCTCCCCGCCCCGCCAAAGCTCATGTTGAAATTTAATTGCCATTGTGACAGTATTGGAAGGTGGTGCCTTTAATAAGGAATTAATGCCATTATCATGGCACTGGCTTGGTTATAAAAGTAAGCTCTCACATGGTCTCTCTTGCTCTTCTGTTTATCTCCATGGGATGATGCAGCAGGAAATCTGAAAGTCCAAGAGTAAAAACTGATTTTTCTTACAAATTGCCAAGTCTTCAGTATTCTGTTATAGCAGCAGGAAACGACAAGACAGCTAAATTTGAGTATGGTTAATTCTATAATCACCATCAGTGCGTCACTTCAGCTTACAGCAGTGGGCTCCAGTTTCTTTGTGCTTATTATGGGGACTGGACTGGAATGCTGGAGGGTTTCTCATCACTATTCTTGCTCTGCCCTAGCTTTCAGCAATCCTTGAACTACTAGGTCATAGAAGGTGTCTCTTTTCATACTCTTTGTTTCTCTGTTGTTACTCAGCTTCAGATCGAGGGTGTGGGTAGATATATTCCCAGTTTTTCTAGACAGATTTCACCCTTAAGCATTTTCTGTACCATTGGTCCCTGGGTTTGGGTCTTTCTCAGCGTTTGTGTATCAGCCTTCTGTGGCAGCTAAATTCTGCCTTGTACATATAGGCAGTGGCCTGGGCAAGAGGGTTTCCAGCCTCTCCTCCAGTATTAGATATCTGCTGTGTATTGATACAAGATCTGGGACCTAAGTGACATTACTGCTGCTCCTTCAGGGAAGATGTTTTTTGCTTCTATCCCTCATCCAGAAACAGTGGGTATTTTTCCCCGGCTGGGCAGCAGCAGATTTTCCTAACCCTTCCCTAAGGGCAGGTAAGGTTTATTTCTACCCCTCCAAGAGAAGAAGTGCATCTTTTCCTAGGTCTGAGGGCAAGACTGTCTTTTCTTACCCAGGTGACTTAAGGCTTTTGCTTTATATGAGAGAACAGTCTGGAGAAGTGGGCCTGGTTTTATATCTATCCGTTAATGGCAGCCGGTCACCACCTGGCCCACTTATGCTGTCAAGGAGAGCTCCCTGCATTTCTCACCTGCCCTCAGTCTTTTTCATGAGCATTTAATGGAGTCATGTGGCAAAGAGCTTGCTAGCGAGGACAAGTTTCCCTTATGTCACGGACTTTCAGTTTTCTGAACTGTGATGCTAGCTATAGTTGCCCCTAAATTTTGTAAACTACTTAATTTTTACATGTTTTTATGAAAGATGTGTTGCTCCTTTGATCTGCCAAAAGTGAAATAGTTTGGGTGTCCAGTCTCTTCATAAAAGAGCTTATCCCTCTTCAGAAATCACCTTACTAGGTTGACTTGTTACCTTGGTTTTCTGATGGGGTCAATAAAAGTTAGGATTTTGTAGATGATTTGACTTTTTCTTATTGTTAGGTGGTAGCCTCTCTTGTGGCTTTCTGAAGCCTAAGCAGAAGCAGAACTTCATGAAACTTTTGTGATGTATGTCTCTCCTTGTGTGTGTCTTCTTAGTCTAAATGTAAAATGTATTTTTTAATTTGTTTTTTTCTAATTTTGTTTTTTTATTTTGTAAAATGTATTTCTTAACATAGATCAAGGCTAATTTTTTTTTAAAGTAGTTCAAGGCTAAAATTTTTTGAAAGCTCACTGTTTAGGAGTGTTTGCAACTGGTTCCATATTTTGTGGTCCAGAATTACTTTCTTGGGAGTACATTACCTTTGAGGATAGCCGCTTTCTTAGACTTCTTTCATTATTCTTTTGGTTTATTGACTTTTCCTTAGGGAATACTTTAATATTCTTGATCCCTAAAAGCCTTTCCTTTATCAAGAAATGGATGGGTAGAAAGACTACTATGACTTCTTAAATATCTGCTCTGAACAATTTATAATTTAAGAAATTACTGCAGTATTCTCTGTGATCCTCAATTGCCCAAAGAAATTAGTCCCTATTAGAAAATTTCATTCATACTCCTAAGAAAAAATTAATTTAGATAATTTGACTAAATAAACTCGAATTTTCTAATACTTTTATACCATTTACATTTTTATTTAGAGTTTTGGAGGCTGGAAAGGCAAATGTTATTTTACCAAAAAGTTCACCAAGTGGAATAACTCATGTGATTGCCAGTAATGCAAGAATTAAAGCTGAGAAAGAAAAAGATAACTTTAAGGCTCCATTTTATCCAATTCAGTATCTAGGGGATTTTCTTTTAGAGGTAAGTAAAATAAATAGTAAACATTTTATTTTGTTTCATGCATTCATTTTATAAAATATCAATATAGTAAAATATATATTAAAGTTGTGTTCTAAATTTTGAAAATATATTGATAGTAATTTAAATGATACTTTTTAAAGTCAATGGCTCTCAATTACTTAAATATTTATGAATACTTCCTATAGATTTGAAAGAAGCTTACTTGTTTAAGTATTTTAATGTCAGTATAAATAAGATAGTAGAATATATAGTATTATATAGTATTGTATGAGAATTTGGGGGTTATTTTTCCTTTGGAAAAGAGAGAGCTATTTCTAAGGGTTTAGAAATAACTGTCCTGTCCTATTCCCCTACATCCTCCTCCTTACTTGGTGTGGATAATGCTCCTCAAGTTGTTTGAATGGGCATCAAACCCTAGAAGAAACTGTCCAGGAGATATGCAAACAAGAATTTTAAGAGCACTCAGGGTAGAAGAGAACCCTTAGTATGTCCAAAAACAACCTTGATATAGGAAAAAGTCATCTTCATTGTTTCCCATCTTGTAGATACCATTATGTTTTATCTAATACTTTATGTCCGAGGTCTGGGAATTACCCTTAAAATCTTTCTCTCCTTTACTCCTCACATCTGTCAGCTTACTAAATCTTACTGATTTTATCTCAAATATTTCTTGAATCAAGCTACTTTTCTCCTTCTGTACTAACATCATACTGAATTTACCATGTTTCCTCTGCACTTCTGTACTAACATCATACTGAGTTTATCATCTTTCCTCAGCACTCCTGGAATAGGCTTATGATTATTCTTCCTGTAACTGCCTTTTTACTCTAATTTCCTAGTTACTCTTTCCTTTTCCTTTAGTGTATTCTAGTTCATTTAGAAAGAGCAATCAAAATGCTGTTTCTAAAACAGTGTTGATCCTGTCATTCATCTACGTAAAGCCCTTCAATGGCTTTCCATTGCTCTTCGGACAAAGTGCTGAATCTCTAATATGGCTTACATGTTCCCACAGGGTTCCTGTCATTTCTATCTTTTCAATTGTATCCTGCTTCACTCTTATCTATGCTCACTATGCTATATGAAAACTCCTTCTCCCAATTTCTTAAATAAGCTAAGCTACTCCTAACTCAGTGTCTTCTCGAAAGATATTTTCTCCTCCTGAAAAGTTATTCTCCACTACACCTTCACTCTCTGGGTCTTCCTGCCTTCTACTCATCTTTCAGGTTCCTGTTACAGTGCTACTCTACAGGGAAGCCTCCTTGATCCCCTTACTCAGTGAAGTTCACCTATGTGTTCTCATAGCATTATTTAACTTGGTACTCCCTACAATTACAGTTAAGTAATTGACTGATTATTTGATTAATGTCTGTTTCCCCATGTAGATCAAAAGCTCCTTGTCATCAGGCATCATGTCTGTCTTTTCCATTTTTATATTCCGATCACCTCACAAAGAGCCTGGCACATGGGTTGTCATTCAATATTTGTTAATAGAGAATTTGTGAAAGATGTTTGAGTCTTCCAAAAATACGTGCAATATATCATCATGTAGTTGCCTTTCCCTAATGAGTAGCAGCAATGTATGTTGGAAATTTGACCTTAGTTCAAGGAATGGGTCTGCTTGGACTATAGATAATCTCATTGTCCTTGACAGTCATTAGTTAGGAATGAGCATGTGAACCAATTCTGATCAATGGGTAAGGAAAAGAGGTATGTAAGAGCTTCTAGGAAGTTGCTTTCTCATAATGAGAAGAAAGCCACTGACGGGCTGACTCCTGCTAGATATGAACACAGAAGAATGTAGCCTGAAATACTACTGGTTAACCATGAAAAGAACTAGCTTTATGGTGAAACCAGCCCTGTAGTTAGCAGAGTGTAGAGACAGAATCTAGACCCTGGCGCTACTTAAGTTGCTGGATTAAACAACACCGAAACCTGTTTTACCATTAGACCACATTGCTCTTCTGTGTGGTTATTCATTTCCATGTTGTTTAAGTTAGTTTGGGTTGGTTTTCTATTATTTGCAGCCAAAAGCACACTATCTGATAGAGCTCTCTGAATAGTTTACATGTAGTATTAAGTATGAACAGTACAAAAGTTGTTCTTAACTAGATTAGTAAAGATATATTAATTTTCTTTTTTGCTTGGAAAATAATGCTTAAAGTGCAACATATACTGCGCATTATCTACAATCTTATTTTGCAGTATTCTAAGAACATTCATATCCGGCTGCTGAAATAGTGGGGGACAGCAGTAGTATATCAATGAAAATAGCAGATAATCTCCAACTTATATTTGGTTTTAGAATACATTGTTTTATAAGTTCTGAATTGAACAGCTGGGAGTTCATAACCAGTCCAAATAAGGAAGACATATTGTGATCACTTCTGATCACAGAAGAAGAGAAATTAGAAAGTTAACTTTATTTCAGTGTCTTTCATTTCTTCGATATAGATCATATTACAGTCCTCATTAGATGGATTTTGAAGTGTCATCCAAGAAGAGCTGCCATGTAAAATGAGTGAGTTAATAGTAACAAGCCAGGTGTGGTGGTTCTGTAATCCTGGCACTTTGGGAGGCTGAGGCAGGAGGATCACTTGAGGTTAGGAGTTTGTAACGTATCAAGACTCCATGTCTACAAAAAATTTTAAAAATCTGCTGGGTGTGGTGGCACACACCTATAGTTCTAGCTACTCTAAAGCTGAGGCAGGATTGCTTTAGTCCAGGATGTTGAGGCTGCAGTTAGCACTATGATTGTGTCACTGCACTCCAGCCTGAGCAACTGAGCAACAGAGTGAGACCTTGTCCCCCCTCTTTTTTTTAAAGTAACATTTAAAAAAAAAAAGTTTTGTTTAACCCTCTTATTCTTTTTGAAAAGCTTCTGAGTACCAGAATTAGAAATCTATTTATTTCAGCTTTATAGATATTTATTGAAGACCATAGCTGTACCAGGCATTATGCAATGCACTAGGGATATGAAAATGAATAAGACCGTATATCGCACTTTGAGAAGCTTACTATTTAGTGATGGAGGAAGAACGTGGACACTGTTACTTGCAATTCATATGAATCGCACATTTGTAAAACTGTACAAGCTACAGGAATACAGAGGAACAAATGGCTAACATATCTCAATTGTTTGGCCCAAGGAAAGTTTCATAAAAATGAGAGGCTACCTAGGAATACTGAAAACTTACCTTGACTACTTAAGAAAGAAAAATGAACTGCAGCAGTCTTATGGGAATATATTAGGAATAACAGAAACAGCACAGACTTTTTGAGCCAGATCAACTAATTTGTGATCCAGATTTATAATGTAGTACTGTGACCATAGGAAAGTCATGTATTGTGTTCCTTAGTTTCTCCCTTTGTGTATAGAAGCTAATACTGCATTGCTTTGGTGGTTGTGAGAATTATTACTATTACTGCTTTGAGTAATAGTTACTGAGTGATTATTATGGGTCAGGCGGTATGTTAAGCATTTTACATGCTTAGTCATATTTAAACCTCATGTTCATGTGTGGTATGTATTATGACTCCATTTACTGTTTGGGATAAATTTTGAGGTAAAATGAGGGTAAGTAACTTGCCCAAGATCCCACAGCCGTCATGTTTCAGAGCAGAAACTTAAAGCCAACCACTCAATCAATTTTAAGGCTTCTTTCCTCAAATCGTCCTTTCCTAGATCCTTTTCATCTCCCCATTTTGAGTATTATTGGGTTTCCAGTCTCTTTGTAGGTAGTTAAAAAATAATAAATGCTGTAATCGATACTATAAACAAATAGTCATAGGATTATGAAGTGCTATTTAAGCATCAGGGTATAAATACAAGTTAAGAACCAAATGGCACTCAAAGGACTCCCTTTCTTATCTGTCTCTTCTTATGCATCTGCTCTAATCAGTTCATTCAAGTTTTGTGACAGATGCTTTGGCCGAATATTGGAATAAGACCTGGAGACCAGAGCATACCAATTACACCCAGCCAAAGATAGGAAACTAAGTCAAATATCAGAATCAAAAGCCAACTCTCATTGCCACAACTGTGTTGCCCTACTCCTAGATGATAGAATAAGTAGCTGATTAAGCAGGCTTTTAGTTATTCTCTAGTGCATAGCACTATCCTGTATAAAATATACTAGTCTTGGACTAGATTATAAAAGGAGGCAAACACCTAACCCAATGCCTAGTACATAAGTTGACACTAAGACACTTATAAGGAATAAAAATGAATATTTATAGTTAAATAATTTCTTTATATTTCATAAGAGTCACCAATTAGACAAAGTATTAGTGGCTTAGAGAAAAGTATTTGTGGATCATTTGTTTAGCTATATAGAAAATAGATTATTTAATTTCAAAACTTTCAAATGTTATACCTTCTGTATCAGGTTGTGATTTTTAAATACTTAACTTACATAGGATACTAGTGTCATACATCCTAATTTACAGATTCATATGTAGCATCTGAAATGGACACATGAGTAAATAGATTCAGGATTAAGAAACAGTTTATTTCTTGCCTTGTTGCTGATGATAGTGGTATGTTCCCTTGCATTCTCCGTAACAAGAATGTATATGGGATTAATTCATCCTGTATTCTGGACACTTTTTGAGGACCTAAGCCTATGGATTTATCCTCCCATTGCCAACCATGTAAAATTTAAAGCCAGAAACTCATTTCCCCCCACCTGCAAGTTGCCCTTAACAGAAATTGTTGTTGATAAATTCTTTGGTCCCAGGAATAGGAAGGGAGAAAAGTCTTTCTTTTCTTACTTTTCAATTTCACCTTTCTGAGTTTCTGAAAAAGAAATTCAATCAGCTATTCTCAGGGATTCTTCTGTGGTTTCAGGATTGCAGCCTGCTAGAAGGACAGCCCTCATTTTAACATAGGAAGCCAAGTGTGAGTGAGAGGGAACTAAAGATCACATTATAGATCTTAACACATTTTAGGTTTTTTATAATTGTTCCCTAGGAAGACTGTGATTCTTCAGTCTCTTTGGGTAGAGATTATGAATCTCTGAAAACAGCCTTTCTTTTTTTTTTTAGACGGAGTCTCGCTCTGTCACCCAGGCTGGAGTGCAGTGGTGTGATCTCGGCTCACTGCAGCCTGCACCTCCCAGGTTCAAG